TGCCCCACCTTGCCACTACCTGCGGGCGCCAATGGATGAATGGTATAGGCGCGCATACGGGATATACATACATACATTAATTTTTATACATGTATAGATATAGATAACGTTTGCGCAACTATTCAAGGAAGCGTTATGTCTGCCATCTACCCATCCGTCCATCCATCCAGCTTAATAACACAGTTGGAATAGTTGGATATTTATTATTTAATAATTTTCGTTATTAAACTTAGTATAACAATTAACTCCCTCACTGATCAACTAATATTTTTTTTGTTTTAATGAAGGATACATCGTGTAACATTGGATGTGCTTCGTGACGTCATAACAGTTCAATTCATTTGAATAAACACGTTCAGAATTCCGGAGTTTGTGTGTTTGTTTGGGAAAAATTGAAGAAAAAAAAAGGGAGGGGGGGAACGTATCACAAAACTAAGTTTAACCAAATATGTTATTGGCAATGTAACAAGTATTTCTTAAACTTAAAAATTTAAAAAAATATATATATATATAATTATTATTTGTTACAAAGAGCATGATAATGACATAAAATTTTCTTTTGTAACCAAAACACTTGGTGCGAGTTGTTTAGTTTTGGATTTGACCCATTAACATCTGTAAGCTGAATGAGATCTTCTTGAATATCTAGAATATTCCTATTTCACTGCCCCTGGGCCATCCCAACACCGGTTGGAGGAGGGGCACTACCATTTTGAGAATCATTGCCCTACATGATGTGTGTTGTTTGGTGGGCTCTTTAAAAAATAGTGTAAATGGGGGAGGGGGGGCTTAGGGAGTTGTTTTGAGCCCAACCATACCACCGTTGTTACACGGTATACTACAGAGAAGAATGTTGTGTGTTGGTTTGTTTTTTTTTCTGGTGGATAGGGGTTTCTGGTGGATGGGGGTTTCTATCAGATCAGCCACAAACAGCACCACCACCACCACCTTCCATGGTTGCGACTATTCGCACCCGGGTACCAGAAGTGAGAGGTTGTGGCTATTCGCACCCGGGTACCAGAAGTGAGAGGTTGTGGCTATTCGCACCCGGGTACAAGAAGTGAGAGGTTGGGATTAAAAAACTATTTAAAATATTATTGTTGGGTTTATAAGACAAAATGATGTATCAAATGTGAGATAATTGAATGGACTGTTCAAACAATACTAAAAGAAGTATAACAAGTATAAGATCACAGTAAAAAAAAAAAAAACCAAAAAAAAAAAAAAAAAAATCAAAAAACAAAA